ATACATACATGCATGCATGCATGCATGCATGCATGCATGCATGCATGCATAAATACATACATACATACAAGCGTAACTAGAGTATTTAATAGAAAGTATTTACAGTTGGTACAAGAAAGCAGTCATAATTGGAAATGAAACGTAACTATTGTTGGTAATGAAACGTATCTAAAGCAGGTAATGGAAAACATCTAGTCGGTAATGAAAGATGAAATGTGTCTTTATTGGGTAGTGAAGAATATATATATAGGGAGAGAGAGGGGGGTAATGAAAGGTGTCTGTAGTGGCTAATGAAAATTATCTACAGTCGTTAATAAGAGGCATCTGTAGTGGGTAGTGAGAAGTATATATAGTGCGTAATAATAGGTGTCTGTATTTGGTAGTGAGAAGTATATATAGTGCGTAATAATAGGTGTATGTAGTAGGTATATATAGTGCGTAATAATAGGTGTATGTAGTAGGTATATATAGTGCGTAATAATAGGTGTATGTAGTAGGTATATATAGTGCGTAATAATAGGTGTATATAGTAGGTATATATAGTGCGTAATAATAGGTGTATGTAGTAGGTATATATAGTGCGTAAAAATAAGTGTCAGTAGTAAGTAGTGAAAAAATATATAGTGGGTAATGAAAGCTCTCTTCAGTGGGTAGTAGCTAATGAATATCACTAGACAAAACTATATGAGGAAAGTTCTTTTTTATGAGAAAAACACTTCATCTTTGCACTTTCATTTTCATTTTTTGCTGAAATTTTGCAGAAGTTCATTTTGGTACCTTTGTTTTGATCAGGTATTGAAGAATGGATTCAGTATTTTTTAAAGAATGGCTGATCATTCCTTTTACCAGCCATGCATTTAAAGCCCACACTAATCGTGGTTTGGGGTCTGGTTTTAATTTAGCAACTAAAGAATTGTGTTGAGAAACAGAATACATTATTAATAATAGAATGCATATTTGTAATCAAACTGAATGATGACCGCATAAATAATTCATGCATATAATAAGTAATTCGTTCATGAGAGTATGTGATACATGAAGTGTAATTTTAAAAACAGCGCTGTTTCTAGTGCTGTCAAAATGATTTCGTTCTTATGGTCTTCTATGGAAGAAGGGCAAGGTCTCGTTTTGGAAACTGTTAAGCAAAATTAAAATCAAGAAAGGCATTCCTAAGCATCAATTTAGCAATGTTTCTTTTCTGTAAAAAAAACTACAATTCCTTGCAAAACTACAGAATTCATATTCCAAAAAGAATATCTTCACAAATTTCTACAAAGAAATACCGATTTCTCACAAGAACCTTAGTGTTCGTAGTTACAAGGATTTTCAAAATAATGCCGACCCGTCTTCCAATTTGTCTGTTGCAACTAAAACTAGAATTATATGGAACAACTGATCACATTTTGAAATATTTGGTTGTTGTTATCAGAAAACTGCTTCTTGCAGTTTTACATAATTCCAGGGCTTTATGACGCATTGAACCCAGGAGAATAATGAAACGCCCACTAAATTGTTTGGACTACAAAAGTTGCTTCAAAATCTGACATATGTTCAGAGATTATTAATTAATTAATTAATTAATTAATTAATTAATTAATTAATTAATTAATTAATTAATCCTTCCATCAGGTTAACTCTGATTTACACGGGTTTGTTTAGCGGACATAGCGGACAGTAATAATTTTCACTTGTACGGAATTAAACTTAATTTCAACAATTTGTCTCAGAAGCTTACTTTAGGACGGTAGGCGATACATCGATTATTTGTACAGAATTATTAACTTGTAGTTATGTGTTTGAAGAAAATATATTACTTAATTCCTACCTTTATATCTTCTCGCAAATATCAACTATTCAAAAAGGGCGACAAAAACCTGTTAACATTTATAAAAATTTATTCTGCTAAATAAATTATTGTGAAAGAGCAATGCGGGGTTGAGTCCAAATGGTTACTTATAATTAACTCATTTGTGATATGAAGTGTGTGACATGCGTTTCCTCAGCTTGTCAAGTCGGACTTATCCGGCCCTTTTCTGCAATAACTATACTTGACACTTGTATTGCATGGACAAGACATAAGACAAATTAACTTAGCGATTTTCCAGTTCTGATAACAATGGCAATCCCTGAGGGATAGACGAAAAGAATGATAACTTTCGAGAAAAGATACAAAAATGACAAATCAATGTCATTGAGAGTAGTGTATATTTTGAAGCTGAAAAGTTTTCTGGGTTTTATAATTTAGGTATAGTTGTCTGATGCATCTGTACTTCAGAAGGCTCACGTGATGAGTTTAGTTGCCTCTTCTCAGAGAAAACCAAATAATGTATTATGAAACTACAAGATAGATTTAAGTATTGACCTTAACTATAATATTTAGCCGCATATTTTGGTATAAACGTTTTCCGCGCAGCATCTATTTGATTAAAGCAAAGCAACTCGATTGGATGAGGTGATACTGGCAAACGTCATGCAATGTTTAGAATATAAAATAAGTTTATAATGTGTTTTTGTGTCTGAGGTTCCCATACAAGATACCTCTAATTACATGTCCTGCGACTCTGCGAATAAGGAAAAAAAAACGTATGAGATAAGAACTGGTAAGATTTTTGACCCTGGTAGAAGTTACGAAAGCTAACTTTTCAGCCGTTTCTGAAAATGATCTACGGTTGTCTATTTTCCTTAAGACAATTTAAGTGATAACGTTGTGTACCAATCTCGGCGATATGAAACTGCATAAATTCTGAAAAGAATCCAATTTAACCAATTAAATTACTTGATGTAGAAGTCAAGTCAAGTGATATTAAGACATTCTGATAAGAAATGGCAATAGAATGGTGTTATGATCCTCTGGCTGCTGCCATTATTGAAGATCTAATCACTAAAATCAATCTGTCTTACGATTGAGAAGACGTGCTTTGTCAAAGCCATCTATGTGCCATAAGTATGTGAATCCAGTCTAGAAAAGTAGCAGTTGCATCGATAAATTAGGCTCATGTTTGAGTCAATTAATATTAGATCACGTCCTAATGAATTAGACAAGATGATCAATACCTTGACAAATTCCTTGTCAATACCAAATTTGGCCCGGTCTCATTTTCAAGCGGGTAAAATGGATATGTGAATGAAATCGCCATCTGTCTATGTGTGTCAGTCTCTCTTTGAAAGTAATTACTCATTATTATGTCTTCAATAGTTTAGAGCACATGGATTTTGAATGTGTTACATAAAAATGCATAGTAATCTCTCTCTCTCTCTCTCTCTCTCTCTCTCTCTCTCTCTCTCTCTCTCTCTCTCTCTCTCTCTCTCTCATTAATTAGAGTTAAAATATATAACGAAAACAATTGCCCTGAATAGTTAAAAAAGTACGCCAGAGCCATAGCTAATTTTTTATGATATCGCAAAATCTTACTTTTGACACGAAAAAGAGAAAAGAAAACAACAAACAAACAAGGACTTCTTCTTTCAGGTAAGTCTCGATCGTCACAGACGACCATTAGAAGTGAAATATTTAAAACTAAGGTGATTTGTTACATATTCACCGTATTATATAAGTGTCGGTTAGAAATATACATAAAGACATAAACAATATATATATATATATATATATATATATATATATATATATATATATATATATATATCCGATTTACGTGTAAAATAGTACATAATTTGACAGTGAAATGTCCAGGCAAGGCCAACTAAAAATGTACTAAATATTTAACTTTCTAAGGATAAAATTCATAGGAAAAATCAAAAACTGCAAAATGGAACTATTCATACTTTTTAATAAAGTTGGCACATATTCCCAGCAGGTATAAATTTGGCATATATTCCACACGGAAATTTTATGAATCTTCTGGAACATTGTTATCAGCAAAAAAAAAATTAATTTTTGGACAATTTCTAAATCCGTTTTCTTCTGATTCTTCTAGAAAACTAATGTAAATTATGTCTGGGTTCTTCCTTAATTTCAGGGACTTCTTTTCACATTGCTTTTTATTAATAGCTTTCTTGGCAGCTGTGCGTTTTGTTCCTTTTTAGAGTCAAACTGAAGTCATATAACTTTTAATTTTCATATAGTTGCATTGTTTTAGCTCTTATAAAATTTTTAGAATTTTACTGAATTTTAGGGAATTCTAAATTATTTTTACGGACTAAAAAAGAGTCATAGGTGTACAATTTAAAAAAAGAGTTAATATTTATTTTTGCCAGCATGTTTACATCTAATAATACATTCCAATGCTATAAGAGGAATCAAAAGCTAGCTAACTTTGAACCACTCTTTGGACGAAATTTTAAGAAATTTATTGAAACCAAGGAATAGAAACGAAGTCTGGACTTAAGAAAACAACTAAAATTAAAATAGACATAACTGCCACGAAACATTTGTCTAGACCAACTGTTAAGTAATCAGATTGGATGGAATTTGACGGGGACTTTATCTCAAGTGCTGAAGTCGAGACCTAGCATGTTTCAGTTCATGTTTTGTAAAAGCTTTGCATTCCATAGACTAGCCATCATGGCCAGCACGTTGTTGTTGTTGTTGTGGGGCTTAACAACGCCATTTTTTCAGCACACGATAGGCTATACATGGCAGCTAGTATTAATGGTGGAGGAAGAAAACGGGAAATCCCCGGAAAGAACCCCCGACCCACGAGAAGCTACTGGCAAGCTTTCTCCAATATCTACATTCGCCGAATCATAGACTCGAACCCACGCAAACAGAGGCGAGATGGCAGTGATCTGTAACTGAGAGCGATTTAGACCACTAGGCAACTCGGAGCCCCGTGGCAAGCAAGTAAAATAGTGTATAGCAAATGTCACAAGTTATTTATTCACAAATGCAATAAATATATACCTAATTGTCTTTCTACTTGATTAGACTGTTTTAAAATAGCAATTGCAGACTATACTCGGGGACTTGCTAAGTTACATCCAAGGAGTGAAGGTAGATGAATACACAGTTCACGTATTCATCGTTTTCACCATCCTATTAAGGCCGCTCAGGTGGCTTAGTGGTAAGAGCGTCCGCCTCGGATATAGGAGATCGTGGGTTCGAACCCCGGCCAGGTCATACCAACCACTTATAAAATTTGTACTAACAGCTACCTCGATTGACGCTCAGCATTAGGAGGTAAATGTTAGGACTGGTGTCAGGTTAATGTGACTGGGTGAAACATATTGCTACATGTTTTCGGCATGACGCCCCAATGTTAGACATCACTATCAATTGCCACACTGCACACATAGTAGCGGTGTGACTGAAAAATTGTTAAAGCTACGTTAAAAATCCAAACACCAAAACCTACATACTTTCAATCACTTAAAGAGCGCATAAAAAAAACAATTGGAGCTTTTAAGTTCAAATAAAGTTAAAACAATGAGCATTTAGATTTTAATTTATCAATGTTTCGAGTTTAACAAACTGGTAGTTTAAAGTTACGACAGAATATAAGATGCCTTTTTTTTAAAAAAATCAGGTAAAAATTCCGACATTTGAATTATCATGATTGAATGAATTCCATCATTTTCAAATAATCATTTGCTTGTCTCATTAACATCACTGAAGCTCTTGTGATTAGACGAAAATATTTTATCTAGAGTACATAGTGACTGAGAGGTTACAAAGTGATAGCCGAATGCATCTCTTTGTGATAGCAATATATATATATATATATATATATATATATATATATATATATATATATATATATATATATATATATATATATAATTTAAGCTCTCATCACGTGTTAAATAAACAATTATATGAACAAGATATTTTATGTTTTGTTGACGCATAGTTTAGGTAACAAAATCTACCCCTAAGTGGAAGCGTGAAGCGTTGTAATGACCTTTTCGGGATTACAAGTCGCTCGTACTCTTAGAAACTGAACGTCCTTGTGCAGGTAATAGACAGGGGTGGAGAAAAACTAAAATAATCCAACTATACTTACATGTTGCCTAAACTCTCAGAAACTGAATATCCCAATGCAGATCATTAGTCACAGGACTGACAAGGATGGAAAATAAGTTAGCAAGTCTTTTCGGGGTTACATGTCGCCCAAACTCTCAGAGACTGAACATTCCAATGCAGATAATTGACAGGGATTAAATGCTGAAAATAATCATACTAGTATATTAGAAATAGGAATATTTTATATAGATATTCTGCACACTTGGTAAGAAGGTATAAAATTTTCTTCTCCTCTCGTTGATTAGTATCTTTATGATAGTCATTTTGCTCCTACATATTTTTGTCTTCCGTCACTTAAAAATATTATACATTAAATCATTCTTGATGCTATTATGTCAATTAATGTTTCGTGGGGTGTGTGTGTGTGTGTGTGTGTGTGTGTGTGTGTGTGTGTGTGTGTGTGTGAATGTTGCTAAATGGCCTGATTTATACTTCCTCCATAATCCTAAAACACACTATCATTAAAATTTGGTTCAGGTAGTGCATTGAAAATTGACAATAAAATTCGCACTACCTAACTCTCATTAATGACCACAATTAATCCGAATATTGTCTGCACGTTTCCTGTAAAAATGTATGCCATAAAATAGTGCACGCAGACACACAACAATATGTTCATTTTTTCACACCTGGAAATTTGAGTTATCTGCCAAGAAGTCTGCCACTGTCAAGGAGTTAACATATCTTCATCAACGTTTGGCGGAAGACTGCAGCACCTCTCTCGCCACTTTTCAATACTGTGCCATTGAAGAGAATATCCCTTGCCATACCGCTGTGTCTGTAATCAGAAGGAATATAACTGCAAAATAATTTCCATTCAATTATGCGCGCTACATTAGAATTATATTTTTTCAGCATTTCACTAGGCAAAAGATATATTATTTCTACCATTCCAGCTCATTATATTTGGATACATGTTATCTTAAGATACAGGCATTTTGGAATCAGAACAAATATGACGAAATAGATCAACATAAGACTGAACATAAAGACTATTTTAATAACAACCGACTATGTTGCCCGAGTAATGTGATATCAGCAACTTTATATATCTCGCCAGGACCAATATCCATCTGTTCTAAAGCTATTGAGGCTTTTTAATTAAATAAATGTATGCATTGTTTTCACACTCACCTTGTAGCAAACTTAAAATATTTAACAAGATTTGAGCACGAAAATTTTCAAAACTTTTATAAATGGAACAAACTGACAATTGTTTTAACTAGTATAAGCTCTGTCTGCTCTCACTTTGTCCTTGTCAAATGCAAGATTGCGAAAAAGAGACGATCAATAAGCACAAACTTCACATTTATACCAAAACTGGGAATATAAGCTCTTCCTGATTTGAACTCCGACGATAAAAGAACAACTCACATATGCATTTTATTTTATTTCAACTTCATTTTTAAAATAAAATTAAAAATTTTGGATAATTAACTAATGGATTTAAAATTTAAAAATAAAGAAAAATAAAATAATTAACACAAGCAAGGCACCGTATTTTTGTCCAAGAACTCAATTTTTATACTTCAGTTAATAATGGAATACAAACAATATATAAAAGTGACATAAATGTGTGACATCACTGTACAGCATAAAAACAGGCATAGACCATTTTAAAACTTGACAATGATGGTACAGTGGACATGTACAATAAAGAGTGTGATATAAAATTCTAGAAAAAAATAATTTCAACTGGGCAATATAAGGATGTGGAATATGATATTGGTATCAGAGAGGATTTGGTAGATCAGGATTTCTAAACTTAATATATAGGTTTCAGGAATACTTTCAGATAGGAAACTGTTACGTGCATATAGAATATTACTACCTGATGATTAATATCGTTTAGCCAACAAATAATAATAAAAATTTAAAAATAATATGTGTAATAACTTAGTGGAAACAACACATGTCTTGATGAAAATGGTACTGAAATGAAAGAGGCTTACACACGCAAATATAATTTCGGAGATGGAAAACTTAAAAATGAAGCAAAATGTGTGCAGAAGAAAAACTAAATTTTTCCAAGTGATGAAAAATAGTATGGGTTTACTTTTTTCTATAAGATGGCAACGGTCTAACAGAAGGAAAAATATCTAGACCAGATAAAAGCATAAGGTGCTTATGTGATATGGATTCTAAGAGGGCAATCACAAAATTGAACATCTAAGAAACAGTCTATTTAAACTACACCAAACGTTGATAAACAATTAATGCACGAGGTTGCTTAATTCACTTTTTAAGGTAGAATTTTAACTAGCTTATTAATTTTTTCCTGGGAGCCCTTTTTTATTACCAAAAATGATCCTTGTCATATAAATAGAAAGAGCAAAGTAATTCATGCAATAATTAACCATATTTCATTATTGATTAATAAAGAAATATTAGTCCAGTTGACATCAATGGCCATGTTGTTACAGTTGCAAAAATTATATATAATAATGCTCTTTCTTGCTTTAGCTAACTCCGATAAATAGTCGGTAATATAATTCATATATACTTTATTTGTCAACAAATGTAGTTGCATTACCTTTGTCGCCACCACCAGCGCTTGTTCTTCCGCTCTCATTTATTCAATGTTTTACAAAACTTTCTACGTTTATGCCAAGTGTTGTTGCTATTATACCTACATCTATCAAAATAATAGCAATTGGTATACATTTAAAAAAAATTTGCTGTAGTCGTTTAGCTAATCGTAATTTTCCCCTAACTATTAAACAAATGTTATTTATGTTTTCCCTACAGGTTTTCAAAAATTTTTGTATCTCTCAAATGTCCAACTATTTGCATCCCATTTACATTCATAAGTTGCAAAATGTCTTGCAATTTAGCTTTTTAATCTTTAACACTGCTGATATCTTCTTCATTTCATCTAAATGTTTATCATATATTTTAGAATGTCTGATTTTATGGACATTATTTTTAATTTACTACATCAATAGCATATAAACAGCCTCTTAGTTTTTTCTTCTGGATGACAAAATCCATCAACATTACGTTCTTGGTGAAAACCCCTTTTCAATATATTTCTAGTTTATTGATTTTATTTTAAAATCAATATTTGCTTTGTTAGACTCGTTCTGTAGTTCCCTTTCATCAATGTCAACTGCAACACTAAACCAGGATCACAACAAATATTTATTGGCTACCTCATTATAACTTTTGACTCTAGTGGCGCATTTGCTTTTGATGTTTTCATTTCGATATTTTCAAGATTTAGTAGATTCAATATAATTCCTTCTCATGTCCAGTCTAAAGACTTCAGTGAATCACCGTCACTTCTTCGTTTTGTTATAAAATCAGTTGCCAGTTTCTAGTATCTTTCTGTATAATTCATAGTAGTATAATTGCTCCACGTCGGATTTGTAAATAAGATTCAATTAATTTATATTGATCTTTATCAACGTGTGAACCATTCGTATTATGTTCTTTGTATTTATTAATATTTTTAAAGGTGACTGTTGAGGAAAATGAAACTAGTCATTAGATACATTATCGACGTAAGTTTCATCAATCATTGCATTGGAAGTTTAGCATCATAGTTATTTATATCTTTAAAGCTCGCAAAATTGTTTGGTCGAAATTAAGAATATGAAATTCGACTCCAGCAATTTTTGACATTCAGCGAATTAAAAGAATTAAACACATTTTTAAAAGAATTATATTTTTATGCAAGATTAAAAAGCAGTCAGCGAAGCAAAGTTGTATTAAGAGAATATATGCAAGATAATGCTGCCAAGAGTCCAACACGAGCTATAATAAATGAGTGTAGAAAATGAAACAATAAAGGAAATAACCGACAAGGTGTTAAAACGAAGAGAAAACAAATTAGAAAATATGTTTTGTAAATTCGATTAAATTTCAGTCTTTAATGAGGAAATTTCCACCAACATATAATTTAAACATAATACAAATCGAAACTGAAAGTAAAACTAACTTACTGGGATGATATTGATTAAGATCTTTTCACAATTCAATAGGTGGCAGTGACAGTAAGCTAAACGGAACAACCATATCAATTATTGAAAAACAAGAAAAAGGACGCTGAAATATGTTTTCGTTATTATGTAATCGATGTATTTGTCCGTTAAGCA